CAATCTGCAGCACCTTCTTCGCGAAAAGGAGGACTCAGAAGGTAACCTACAGCAGTGGAGGGAGACAAACGGAAATCGACCATGTCCTGGTCAGAAGATCGTCTCTCAAAACCGTCAAGGATATCAAGGTACTGCCTGGGGAAGAGCTGGGCCCTCAGCACAGGCCTCTCCTGGCAGACATCGCCATAGACCTCCCCAAGAAGACGAGGGTGAGAGCAGAGCGGAGAATTCGGTGGTGGAAAATGGGCAAGGTAGAAAAGGATAGCCTCGGCCGAAGAATACTGGAGGCTGGGCTCCCAGACCCACATGGGCCAGTCCAGGACACCTGGACCTACGCAGCAGAGGTCATCCTACAGTGTGCAAGGGAGGTCCTGGGAGAGACGCGAGGTGGTATCAGAGGAGACAAGGCAGCCTGGTTCTGGAACGAGGAAGTCCAGAGGATCGTCAAGCAGAAGAAGGAAGCATACAAACGCTGGCAAAAGACACGGAGCCCAGAAGACTACGCTGCCTACAAGAGCTGCAAGCGACTCGCCAAGGCAGCCGTTGCTAAGGCCAAGAATACGGAAATGGACGCCCTGTACGACAAGCTGGAAGGCCGAGAAGGGGACAAGTTCGTCTTCCGCCTGGCTAAAGCTCGGCATCGCGCTGCTCAGGACATCAGGGTCGTAAAGACTGAAGAGCAGCAACGGGGCCATTCTCAGGAAACCAGCCGAAGTCAGGAAGAGGTGGGAAGAATACTTCGAGGGACTTCTGAACGAAGAATTCCCTCGCAAGGATAGCCCACAGATAGAGGCGACGGCAGGTCCCATCACTCCCTGGACGAAGGATGAAGGGAGAATGAAAGCTGGGAAAGCAGTGGGGTCCAGACGGGGTACCGATAGAGGCATGGAAGGCCCTTGGAGAGAATGCGTGGAGGAGCAGCACAATCGTTCCCATCTTCAAACAGAAAGGGGACGCGACGGAGTGCTCCAACTACCGCGGCATCAAGTTGACTCCCCATACCATGAAGCTGTACGAGCGCCTGGTCAACACTAGGCTGAGGGAACTTGTCCCTATCTCGCAGGAACAGTTCGGCTTCATGCCCGAGAGGTCCACCACCGATGCCATCTTCATCGCCAGACAGCTGATGGAGAAGTACCGAGAGAAGCGGCGACCCTGCTACCTAGCCTTCCTGGACCTTGAGAAGGCATTCGACCGCCTGCCAAGGCCTGTACTCTGGAGAGCGCTCAGAGAACGTAACGTTCCGGAACACCTCATCTCCATAGTGAAGGACATGTACGATGGGGCTAAAGCAGCTGTACGCACCCCTCACGGCTTGACAAAGGAGGTAAACATTACGGTTGGGGTACACCAAGGATCAGCCCTCAGCCCGTTCCTCTTCCTCCTGACTCTAGATGTCATGGCAAAAGAACTCATGGAGGGACCACTGAAAACCATCCTCTACGCTGACGACATCGCCCTGATAGCGGACAGCAGGGAGGAACTCCAGGACAAGGTGCAGCGGTGGCAGGATGTGCTCGCTGAGAATGGACTCCGGCTGAACGTAAAGAAGACCAAGTTCCTAAGCTCCGAAGAGTGCGCCGAACTCATCGTAGACCGCCATGGCGAGAGCATCGAAAGGGTCGAGGATTTCCAGTACCTGGGGAGCAACCTAGCAGCTGATGGCAGCGTGGACCAGGCGGTGAGGCCCGAATCAACGCAGCCTGGATGAAATGGAGGGAGTCCACTGGCATCCTGTGCGACCGGCGGTGCTCGAGAACGCTCAAGGGCAAGGTGTACCGGGCGGTGGTAAGGCCTACAATGCTCTACGGCAGTGAGTGCTGGCCCATCTGCAAGAACCATGAAAGGCAGCTCCACTCAGCTGAAATGAGGATGCTGAGATGGGCCTGCGGCTGGACACGACTCGACAGAGTCAGAAACGAGGACGTCAGAGCGGTCACACAGACGGCTCCTATCCAGCTGAAGGCACGAGAGCAGCGACTGCGATGGTACGGTCATGTACTGAGGAGGCCTGAAGACCACCCAATAAGGAAGGCATTGGAACTCGAGGTAGAGGGCAAGCGACCACGAGGAGCCCCAAAGAAAAGATGGAGGGACGTCATCAAGAGGGACCTCACTGAAGTGAAAGCCACAGCAGAAGATGCAGTGGATCGGAACAAGTGGCGACGTCTAACAAGATCAGCGGACCCTGCGACGGCGCGGGACTAACGCTTAGGAGAAGAAGAAATGGGCCTATCAGAGAAGACTCATTTACTTATGCTTATTCCTACTTCGGGTCGTATGGTCAGGGCGTGGCAGTGCGTGAGCAACACTGAAATGTTCACTGGGTGAGGTCATCGCGCGACCGATTGGACAAAGAGCAACTTCCCTGTGTATGTTTCAACACTTTATGTTTTTAATTCCAGCGTATACATGGGTTGGTAGCCTTCCGCCTTCCTGCGAATGCATTTTTTTCATTCTCCTTTTTGTTCGTTCTCCTTATCTACGCTGCGTAGCCATATGGTATCGGCTTCGGCAATAGGGACGGTGATCGTTCGCCACGATTCTGTATCACCTTCCATGTTTTTCCGTATGCTTGGGCCTGATATGATGAGGCATGCAAGCCCTTTTGTTTTCTTCTATTACCGCTTCTATCCACCATGTAGGTTCCACGAGGGACGTTGATGTGCCGTGTGTCGAAGTGCTGATATGTTCCCGATGACTTTTTTGCATGGAAGAGGGCGTCATAGCAAATTGGTGCTGGGCATTCGTTGCTTGATGTCCTTAGAAGTTATGCATGCATGCGCTGCCACGTTCTTACACGAGATACTGTTACGGATATCCACGTCGACTCAATTCTACCCTATTTCATTATTGATTCTTCGTTTCCTATTAGCCAGGCCGGCATCATTTCGGCTCTTTATGAGTTGACTATTGGTTTTTTGACACACTATACAGTGTATCACATAAACAAGTAAATAAATCAAATTAGCGAACAGCAATTTTTGAAGCAACGTTTTTTAAGTCGTGCGGACTGTAGAGTCTATTCTAACCCGAGGATAGGCAAAGACCAGCCTGGGCTACTTATCTCCTACCAGAACACTAGCAAGCGCGTGGCATGCACCCTGAAAAACGATAATAATGTGGACATTTACCACTCTGTCATGCCGTTCAACTGATGGCGATTTTCCATCAGTTTTTGCTGTCACTCTTTTTTCTTTCAACGGCCGAATCAGTATTTCTAGTGACATAACGTTCGGAGTTACAGCGGTGTGGTCACACTTTCACCCAATTTGTAGGAATGATTCTGGCAATGGTTTGGATCGAGTTCATCACCTACGCTCTCCCTTCAAGGCTTCATTCGACAGCTTTGAGGATCGACCCACAAACCGAACTTGTCCTGTTTGGCACAAGGTAATTCTAGGAGCCTTATAAAATCTCTTGCGCGTGCGCGTAAGGGGACGGGGGTGGGTGCCAGTGGCCATGCATGTGTGCTGCGTGGTGTGCGCGTTCTATATTTGCCACGAGATTTCAATAGCGCTGCGTCGTCATCAGACATCCGACTGCTAGGATCACAGAAACCGAAAAGTTTCTGACCATTTCTTTACCTTATTCAATTGTCATGCGCGATGAACTGGAGGGCGTAACTGAAAAATGCTAAAGTGAGACCCTGCGCCTAGTGCCAAAGAAATGTGAGCCGTAAAACTCTCTGTACAACCCTGTTTCAGCACATGGGAACCGAAATCCAGAAAGCTTTCCTCGTGACCGAGAATCACGCAACGTGCGGCTTTGAAAGGCCGACACCGGAACCCTGAGCATCGGTTTGAGAGATCAGCAGTTGCTAATTCTTCAGGAAAATTTGCATGTTTACACGTCTGAAAAAATGTAGTTAGAGCATTATTGTCAGTGTTAGGCTACAGTTCTGGCAGGCTGAATTTTTGAGGGCGTTATTGGAGCTGAATTTCTGAGAGCGCTGAGCTGTGTGAACACTGATAGACTATTATGTTTCAGTCCACTTTATCGTCTATGTTGCATATGTACATTCATATTGTACCGGGAAGAACTAAGCGTGCTAAAAGCATGCACGGCGTTTCATTTGAAATGCAGTGACAATTCAGTCAAAACATCGACAAGGCCGCGGGTCCGATCCCTGACCAAGGCAGCTCCCATTTTTAACCGCTACCTTATAGTGCGATTGTTCTGTTCCTAACTCTCTTCTCCTCAAAGTAAGGCGATAAAGAGAGGAGCACCATATTCGCATTCGTCTTATGCATGTAAGAGAGCGGTTCAGCATGAGGTCTTATCTGGGCATATGTTTCAGTAGTTCGGCTTCCTGAATTCACCAAGACGAATGGTGAGGACATTATACGTAGAGCATTAAGACACTGCCCAGTTTCCTACGTTGTGAGACTGAGGAATAAAAATCGAGAAGTCTGCAGTAGTGCACACTACACAATGTGTTCAACTCAGAACACGCATCAATTTTTGACTTTGAGGACTCATATAGTTTATTCGATGCTCTAAGACGCGCTTCAGCATAGCACCCTGTTATTACAGCATGCAATAAATTGGTACACCGTTTCTATGGGAGTCATCAGCTCCCATAAAACTGACCTCATTAATTACTCGTGATCGATTTGTGGGATGAATGAGAACAATGAAGTAAGCACAAAAACGGTGTGCCTAGTCGTGGTTCAAGCTGCACACCCTAGACTTCCATAGATACAGCGAATCGGACTTTGGTTTGACATGCTCCGTACAGCTTCGGTAGCGGCGTGAAGCGTGTTGCGAAGCAAGTCGCATTTTAGGCGGAGCATGGAGGAATTAGCCTATTCCGCGGCCCTGAATCCCTTTCTCCGCGCATTGGACGGGGAAACAGCTACCTTGGAAGCTCGTTTACTCCGTGGTGCGGATCGATCGCCGCGCTTGCATTTCGCTGCGCTCTGCAACGCTGCATTCTCCCGTAATTACCCCACCCGGCCAAGGATGTCCACTGAACTAAGTTCCTGTACTATCCAAACATGACAGTCTACGGATCACATCTCCTGGTTAGGTCTCTCTCTTACTCGCACACACGTGGAATTTGACTTTGGAAGATTGGAAAACGGCAAGCTCTTGGATTGGGCAAGGAACTGCGGAAATTTGTGGGCCCCTTCGTCTCAGAGAGCTACAACCGCACGGAGGCGAAGTATTACTCCAGCTCAGCAAATCGTTGTCAAATGACCCTTCAGGTTTGTATAATCATTAGGCACTCGGCCATTAGCAGTTCCAAGACTGACAAGTAACCCTGGTCTGTTACAATGAGTTGGGTACTGCGGATCTTTACAGCGGCCAGTTGCGTTGGCAGACTGGTATCCGCTCTCGGCAGCTGTTGTGGAGTCCTGTTCCTTACACCATCGACGATCCTATGCTGAGAATGTATGCAGTGAAAGAGTGCACAAACAGCGATAAAGGTACTTAAATCGAAGTTCGGCTTCCTGATTCACCACATCCTGAATTCACCAAGACGATGGTGAGGACATTATTCGGCTAGAGCATTAAGACACTGCCTAGTTTCCTACGTTGATGTGAGACTGAGCAATAAAACCGAGAAGTCTGATGTAGTCGCACATACAGAATGTGTTCAATAGAACTCGATCAATTTTTTACTTGAGATTCCTTAAGCATCAGTACGTCCGAGGAGAAGGGACAAGAGAAAAAAAACACCGTTGGCCCGCACGCCAGTGCATGCGAACGATGATCGCTGCATATGGTGCGGCGAAGGACTGCGATCTATGATTAGCTCTTTTACGACCCGCGATTCTGCCATCAGTGGTCGGAGAGGAGGGAAAAACTCACCCATGCGCGTATGTGGCGCGGCTTCTTCCGGCAGCGCAGGCGGGCTAGCGGCCCGGCAAGGGTGATTGCTTGCACCTCCGCCACTGTGCTTCAATCAGAAGCCCCTTTTATGCCCCAATTCATGTGGAAGGAGGAGCGAGAGAAAAGAGGACTGAACAAATATACGTGCAACAGCTCAATAGTCTGAGTTAGTGTAATGCGATGAGGAGAGAAAAGGGGACCTGAACTAAATAGTGAACGCTCATAGTGTTAGTTCGGCATAGTTAGTGGTAATGGTTGAGCAGAGAACTACAGGAAAAGATCGAGAATCCCAGAGCGTATTACATTCAAGTCAAACGGCGGAACTGCAGACATTGATTCCCTTTCGAATAGGACGTGACGTTATAGCGTTATGAGGCCACAACCAACTGTTGGAAATTTGCCAAACCACAGCTTGAACTTTCGTGTAAAAGCTGCTTGCGTCATTCCCACAACCGAAGGGAACTATACCGCCACGCTTCTGCCATTCACTGAAGTAATTCGTGGAAGTCAACTTTTCTGTGATCTCCTACCACTACCACTAACTCACATAAGCACCCACTATCTGTTCAATTCCCTTCCTCTCTCTACTTTTCCCTCCTCTTCCTTCCACATAAAAGAGGCTGCTGGATTGGAGCACAGCGCCGGAGACGCGGGCCATCGCCTTTCGCCCCCCTGCCGCCACGGCCCCTGAAGAAACCGCGCCGCATTTACGGCGCACGGAGTGAGGTTTGGTACACGAGCCCAGTTGCGTCCAGAGCGCCACGATTAGTAACAAAATCGGTAATCGGTAGTGGGAATGAGCCAACTAACTCTGCTTCCCGGATTTTTTTCCGGAGAAATGTCCTACAAGCTCGTAGATTATGCTTTTCCGCTTTAATTTCCTACTGTTGTTGATCACTAATCATTCGTTATTTCTTATCTTCCTTTTTGTCCTACTGTTGTTTACCATTCATTCATTGACATACCAGGAAGTACATTGCCTCACGTTGTCTTTTCGCTACGTGATCACTGCAGCGACGCGCTCGCCGGGAGTTTTCTGCAGAGCCATTCTGTCCTGATCTATACACCGCCCATTATTGCTTTTTGGCTCGCAGATCAATGCCTTTGAGACCGGACATGTTTCAGCAGAATTCAACTGTAGTAAAGGCGGTTGTATCGGGAAGCGCGCCTCTGGTCTCAATTCTTTGAGGACGACCAAACAAGTGGTGCGGGACGTATTTTACGGTCATGTTTTGGGAGCCTAAGCGCCAATTTGTGAGCATCGAGCAGCGCAAAGGTGTCAACATCGCAAGTTATAAGAAGCGACACTTGCTATAGAGGGCTTGGATTTATAAAACATCACAAAATTTTGGTACAATTGCTAACACTATAAATTGGTTAATATGCATTTGGAGGTACTAGATGACCAAGCTGATGCACAGATCCGTTGACAATTTATGGACCCTAATCCAGGCCCAAACGCAACACGCATGTACTTCATTCAAACAAAAAGCTGCGTGGAAAGTCTTGCATATGTAACCCCCTCCCTTGCATGCGGATCAATACCTCGCGGCACAGAAGAAGTTGAGCCGTCTCATTGTCTCGATTCTCCCCAAAGCACTCTATGGCGAAATGCTCGGGAAGGTGCGGAATATAAAGAAAAGGAGCGATCCACTTTCTTCGGACGGAGAGCACAAGGGACAGGAAGAACGTTTACAGTTTAACAATCACAAGATAACTCGCCAACGTGATCAAAATTTTCTCCTATCAAATCCCATTCTCTAATACTGAAACCCTCTGTCGTTGCTCCCAAATTTACCTAAAAAGCGATGATCTAGCTTTTCACAACTTCAGCTCCGCCTTTCCCCAGCGGTGCTTTGGAAAAAATAGTAAGGATAGAATGCTGAGTTATAGGCAAAAATCGAACCCCAGGTGGATGTCACGCCCCACCAGGGCCTATTTCACCCTCTCAGCTTAACGGCTTATGCCGTAGCCTTACAGCACTCACACGTTTAACTTGGTGAGCCGGTCAGCCGTAATCGTTAGATATCGACAATGAGCTGTCCAGCCTTTACGATAGGCTTTACAAAGTCTTTTACATATTCTATATTTTTACAAAAGCCTGAGAGGGTAAGAGCAGCTCTGGTGGCGTAAAAGATAGCGCACTCGCCCAAAAAGCGTGAGGTGCGGATTCGACCTAACGAAACAATACCAGTTTCGTTTTGAGTGGCCCATGTGTGCACTGAGCAATAGATGTATCTGTAATTGCGTCGCCAAACCAAAAAGTTCACGCTTCGTAAGAAAAAAAGTCGAATGCTACTCTAGGCCGTACCTCTAGATGACATTGACAAAGATGCAATTAGTGGCCCAGTAATCGTCGAAACCCATGGAATATTTCATCTTACAGCAGGTTTGATATGGCATGCATTAATTCTGTAGTGCTATGAAATATTATGTGCTACTTATTGAAATTTGGAGCTCTTGGCACGCTCCTGGTTTGGGATTTCATGAATACGTCTGCACATTGTCAATGCGCTCCATGGTGGCATTCTTCGGGAAAGAGGGTCTAATAGGCCTCCTCCAGTATCTGTATTTCGCCATCGGGGAAGCCACGGTTCCCACTTCTGCTGGCACGAATGGCTCCGCTCCCTTTTCCGACAGATCAATACGGACCATGCCCTCAAAACGCGAAGACTAAATTGACCCTTCATCTAGAAAACAAACCTTGGGCATACTCGCAAATAACCAACGCTCTTGCAAATATTATCGGGAAAGAATCTCCGCGCAAATCTCCGGGTAATAAAGTTCTATGTTTCTTTGCACATTCGTCCGAAGACCCTTTTCAGTGTGGAAACCGATCGACGATGACTTACTACCCAGCTTGGTGGAAGCAAAGAGAAACACTGTCTCTCTACGGAACTACGTGGCCCAGAAAACCGGGTGGAACATGACATCACTCGGAGCACTTGCGGATTTAGCTGACAATCTAATTGAAATCGTTTGTTCCACATTGCACCGAATAGTTCCGTATGATTAAGAAAAATAATGGTCCTACAACTTTATTCAAGGATATGTACAATGATCATATCCTGAGTGGCTCCTTCACCCTGAGCTACCTGGTTACGACAGTAATAAAATCATCAGCGAGATCATGGAGTTCGGTTAGTTGTTCAACCTTATTATTGGGACTTAAAGAATTTCCTGGGCCGTGGGCTGTGAATTGAACTGAAACAAAAAGTTTCTTCAGCGAAATGCCGCAATTGCATGGCCACCAACTTACGCACCTTGTCTGACCTGATGGCTGGCTGTTTGGGCTGCAGCATTATTGGTTAGCACACAGAGGCTGCTCAGAAACGCAGCTCCCCACGAATTGTTGGATACGCCTCGGTTAGCACATTCAGAAACATATTATTCTTGTGAGAAATTACTCCCATTTGAGCATACTGAAGTAACACTTGCTCTCATGAAGCTTATCGGAATCGAAAAGGAAGAACTAACGACATCTGCTGGTTTCGTTATTGAGTACCGCGCTGGAGCGTGCCAAGGCAAGATACATCTTTATAGAAGAGAGCACCGGAGCTGCTTCGAGTGTTAGAATATCGCCTAAAACTCGGGAAGTTTTTTTGCTTGGATGTTCTATGTTAGCCCAGGCAGACTGTGTTGTATAAGATTGCCGCACCTCCACTAACGGTAGCGGAAGTAACTATGTGAAATCGCGGCCCGGACCATCTACACCAGTTTTCCGAAACTTTCCTGAGTTTGTCCTTTGACCTGTGCGTGCATTTTCGCCAAATGAATGTAAATGCATTGTCTGAAAATACGTTCACCAATGTTGCAAGTAATGGGAATTGCAGTTCGAAGCCTGCACCATCTGTACGACTACTGGGTCATGACCCCAATCCCATTGACGAACATGTTATCTACAAGGTAAAATGCTGAATGACTTAGCTTTCGATTTTCATTCCTTCATTTTGTCGTTTTAGGCGAAACTTAGTGCCGGAGTTGGCTCACAAAGTGGATTCGAATGGGTTTCTATTGCTTGAAGATTTTATAGGATACGTGCAAAGGTTGTTGCGCGGTATTGAGCGAGGGCGCGTCTGCTGTCGCTGCACTTCAGCGCTTCACTAAACTACCGTCAGGATACAGTGCGGACCATATTTTTTTAAATCTCTTACAGGACTTTGGCGAAAATGTCGAAACCCGGGTTGACTGAACGGCAATCGAAAGGAATTCGAATATTACAACAAGGTGATTTTGAAGAGTCTATAGACTTCTAAACGTAAGCGAACATGTCTCTCCTCCAAAAGCGGTGATCGAGCGGGAGTTTTGCGTCATTTTGACTTCAGGCACAACAGATATCTGATAGTTCGTCTGAGCGGACAGATGCAGCACTATGATACAGGCGTTATGTAATGCGCTTCTGAGAAGCCGCCAAACTGGAGGTCCATTAGAGCCCTTCTGCCCAGAAAGGGCTATCGAATGATTTAGATGGTTTTGCGCTCTCACGCCAGCTTTAGCAACGTGTCTCTAAGGAGTTTACGTGAATGTCAAAGCGTTAAATGTTGTATGCGTTTTCGGGCGTGAAAAACGATGTGTACTATGTTAGGAGCACTTCGCGCTCACGCAACGAGCACAGAATTTACCGATGGCAATTTCAGCAAAGTTTCAACAGCCACCAACGATTCACCAATGTTATTGCAGGTACCAAGACAAAGCAATCAATCTAATTAGGAAATGAATTATGCAGACCCGTATTTACTGTGTCAGTTTGAATACACTGCATCTTCATATCGAATTGAGAGGCTCAGTATACCGAATGTGTTTTCCCTGATTTTTGGTGCTAGATTGTGCGGAGCACGGCCAGAACTGTCTTAGGAAGCAACGTAGTGGAACTTGATGGTGTGTTTCGAGAGGGGTTATACAATGATACTACGAACAATTGCGAGGCGAATCAAAACAAAGACACTGAAAGTCCTTTCGATTCGGCTTGTGCCAAACGGCACGGTCCGACGATCGGGCCCACAGAAAGCTGAAAAACGGCGCGTCGTAAGTAGTGCGGACCATCCGCGACGACAACCTTGGACCCGTCTCGCGGCCAAAAAAAAATGTAAGGAAAGGGCTCTACAGCGTAATATAGGTTCAGTGACGCCTCCTTTTCCCAGTGACTCTCTGAACTCTGCCTTCAAAGCTCGCCTTGATGAAAAATGAAGCTGCAGGGCGAAAAAACATAAAATTGTGACTTGTACGTCGTACAGTCCTTATCGCGCGAAATCAGCTGACCGTTAGATGGAGGGCGTGCTTCGAGATTGAGTTAATTGGGCACATACAAACTGGGGACAGAATGGGTCTATCTCGGGCAGTTGGCTGCTTTTTTTACTTTTTTTTGACTATCAGTCACTCAGGGCCTTGTCGTCTATATGCAAACCCCTAATCCTCTATCTGTGATGGCAAATTCGCGGGCTTTGCCTTCAATGTACTGGAATCAACGAATTTACGTGATTGACTGCATTTAGCAACTGCAAGTGTGTAGACAAGACAATGAGTAAGCGACCGCCAGTTGGAGCTCACAGTGGTTCTGGCGCGCCCGTGGACTGCTGACTGTTTGGGCAACAGCCAAGACTGGCAGTACCATAAGCAGCATCTGGATATTGGCGCAAACGATGTATAAAGATGGTGTCAAACACAAAAGGGTAAAACACGTTCAAATACGCTTAGCTCTGTGACATTATACTTCTTTATAGCATCACAAAACGCGAAATAAGTGGCATTGGATCTTAAGTACCGATGCAGTCAGCTCTTCGCTCGACCAGCGAACGCTCGATTTTGCAGATTTTTAAATAGCAAAATTTACGATCCAGTTCCTGCAACCGGGGTCACGAATTACAAATGAAGCCAGGAATGGTTTGAGTAATCAAATATTGTTGAAATTATTAGGTTGTCCGGAAAGTTCTCAGCGTTTTGTGCACCTATTTTGTACATTCACTGCTGATTAAAAACTCATTCTGCCTTGCTTCTCAGTAGCACATCCTGTAGAGATTTCTTGCGCTATCTGACGGTATTGATATTAATCGCGCGTATAGCCTCGGCCGAAGAATACTGGAGGCTGGGCTCCCAGACCCACATGGGCCAGTCCAGGACACCTGGACCTACGCAGCAGAGGTCATCCTACAGTGTGCAAGGGAGGTCCTGGGAGAGACGCGAGGTGGTATCAGAGGAGACAAGGCAGCCTGGTTCTGGAACGAGGAAGTCCAGAGGATCGTCAAGCAGAAGAAGGAAGCATACAAATGCTGGCAAAAAGACACACGTGGGAGCCCACAGAAGAGCACGCTGCCTACAAGAGCTGCAAGCCGACTCGCTAGGCGGCCGTTTTAAGGCCAAGAATACGGAAATGGACGCCCTGTACGACAAGCTGGAAGGCCGAGAAGGGGACAAGTTCGTCTTCCGCCTGGCTAAAGCTCGGCATCGCGCTGCTCAGGACATCAGGGTCGTAAAGACTGAAGAGCAGCAACGGGGCCATTCTCAGGAAACCAGCCGAAGTCAGGAAGAGGTGGGAAGAATACTTCGAGGGACTTCTGAACGAAGAATTCCCTCGCAAGGATAGCCCACAGATAGAGGCGACGGCAGGTCCCATCACTCCCTGGACGAAGGATGAAGTCCGCCGGGAGCTAGGGAGAATGAAAGTTGGGAAAGCAGTGGGTCCAGACGGGGTACCGATAGAGGCATGGAAGGCCCTGGGAGAGCTTGGGGTGAGTTGGCTAACTTCCTAAACAATGTAACGGCTGAAGGAAGGATGCCAGATGCGTGGAGGAGCAGCACAATCGTCCCCATCTTCACAGAAAGGGGACGCGACGGAGTGCTCCAACTACCGCGGCATCAAGTTGACTCCCCATACCATGAAGCTGTACGAGCGCCTGGTCAACACTAGGCTGAGGGAACTTGTCCCTATCTCGCAGGAACAGTTCGGCTTCATGCCCGAGAGGTCCACCACCGATGCCATCTTCATCGCCAGACAGCTGATGGAGAAGTACCGAGAGAAGCGGCGACCCTGCTACCTAGCCTTCCTGGACCTTGAGAAGGCATTCGACCGCCTGCCTAGGCCTGTACTCTGGAGAGCGCTCAGAGAACGTAACGTTCCGGAACACCTCATCTCCATAGTGAAGGACATGTACGATGGGGCTAAAGCAGCTGTACGCACCCCTCACGGCTTGACAAAGGAGGTAAACATTACGGTTGGGGTACACCAAGGATCAGCCCTCAGCCCGTTCCTCTTCCTCCTGACTCTAGATGTCATGGCAAAAGAACTCATGGAGGGACCACTGAAAACCATCCTCTACGCTGACGACATCGCCCTGATAGCGGACAGCAGGGAGGAACTCCAGGACAAGGTGCAGCGGTGGCAGGATGTGCTCGCTGAGAATGGACTCCGGCTGAACGTAAAGAAGACCAAGTTCCTAAGCTCCGAAGAGTGCGCCGAACTCATCGTAGACCGCCATGGCGAGAGCATCGAAAGGGTCGAGGATTTCCAGTACCTGGGGAGCAACCTAGCAGCTGATGGCAGCGTGGACCAGGCGGTGAGGCCCGAATCAACGCAGCCTGGATGAAATGGAGGGAGTCCACTGGCATCCTGTGCGACCGGCGGTGCTCGAGAACGCTCAAGGGCAAGGTGTACCGGGCGGTGGTAAGGCCTACAATGCTCTACGGCAGTGAGTGCTGGCCCATCTGCAAGAACCATGAAAGGCAGCTCCACTCAGCTGAAATGAGGATGCTGAGATGGGCCTGCGGCTGGACACGACTCGACAGAGTCAGAAACGAGGACGTCAGAGCGGTCACACAGACGGCTCCTATCCAGCTGAAGGCACGAGAGCAGCGACTGCGATGGTACGGTCATGTACTGAGGAGGCCTGAAGACCACCCAATAAGGAAGGCATTGGAACTCGAGGTAGAGGGCAAGCGACCACGAGGAGCCCCAAAGAAAAGATGGAGGGACGTCATCAGCAAGCGACCACGAGGAGCCCCAAAGAAAAGATGGAGGGACGTCATCAAGAGGGACCTCACTGAAGTGAAAGCCACAGCAGAAGATGCAGTGGATCGGAACAAGTGGCGACGTCTAACAAGAACAGCGGACCCTGCGACGGCGCGGGACTAACGCTAGGGAGAAGAAGAAGACTGGAAATAATGAACAGTAATTGTAAGGAGAAGCAACTACCGAGACAACTGGTGATGCTGGTAACCGAATATCAGGATGTCTTTGCAATTTCGGATTTAGAGCTCACTCAAACAGATTTGTTGCATCATAACATTGATGTTGGAGATAGTTCTCCCATTAAGCAACGAGCCCGACCTGTGCCTTATGCGCTGCGTACCCAGGTATGCGAGATGTTGGGAGATCTCAAGAAAAGAGGTGTCATTGAGGATAGCTCTTCTCCATGGGCCTCACCAATCGTACTGGTGGCCAAAAAGGATGGATCAATTCGGCTATGCGTCGACTACAGGGAAGTAAACAAAGTCATCAAAAAAGATAGTTACCCGCTTCCACCCATAGACATGACACTGCAGAATCTGCGCGGAAAACGATATTTCACGTCTCTGGACCTAGCAAGTGGCTACTGGCAGATACCCCTAACTGAGCAAGCAAAAGAGATCAGCGCATTCATCACGACAGCAGGACTTTTTTAGTTCCGAGTATTCCCTTTCAACGGCACCCGCGGTGTTTCAAAGACTGCGAAATAGAAGAAGTTTGCGACTATCCGCAGCCACGGAACCTTGCACAACTGAGGACCTTCTTAGGCATGGCGGGTTATTACCGGAAGTTCATTTTTCGATATGCACAAATTGCTCAACCGCTGTATGATCTCACGAGCACAAAAGCATCGTTTCTTTGGCTAGAAGCACATCAGTTAGCGTTCACAACCTTGAAGGATCTTCTAACGAAAGCACCGGTTTTGGGACAACCAGACATTGAGGCTGCACGTCAAGGAAGCCGACCATTTTACATATTTATTTATATACATGATGCATCCCGCATTGGAGTAGGAGCGGTTTTAGCACAAGAGGGCAATGACAAGCTAATTCATCCGTTGCATTTTGCCTCTAGGGGACTGTCCAAGTCGGAGAAAAATTACCACATAACGGACCAAGAGGCGCTTGGCGCTTGTTATGTTTGCGGTAAAGAAATTTCACTACTTCATCTATGGGGTGCGTACCATTGTCCGGACCGATCACGCTGCCCTTACGTCGTTGTTCAAACGAGCTAATGTTTCCCCACGCGTATTGAGGT